CGCTGCTCCTCCACGTCAAGAGAAGTCAGCTGAGTTGGCTCGGGCATCTGCTTCGTATGCCTCCAGGCACAGAAACTGGCATTCTGTGGTCTCTTAATTTTTCTAAAAATGTTTTAAATTTAGATGTGTTACCCAAACCACATGTTTGAAATGTTAGGCTTATTAATGTTGATTAATAAAATAAAGATAAATAATAAAAGCAATGTGTCAGAGACCCTAAAAATTTTTTAACTCAACAATGAAACATCAAATGTAGCCAACAGCTTTTACATTGTCAATCAAATGAACTTAAACAATTAAAAAATGCAACAAATGTTTGTTTGGGCCCGAACTACAAAACTAAATGTGAAAAAAAAGTTGCTTAAGTTGCACACTAGTTTGGTCGTGTATAAAAATCATTATAATAACTATATTGTATAAATATTATTGTCATTATAAGCCTACATCATGCTGACGATCAAAAACACTATGACATGATATCTCATGCGACTGTCTTCTGACCGAGTGCATCTTAAAATACATGACAGACACCCCTCATAGACCTTGAGAAGCAGACATTCTTTAAATTTGTAAAATAAAGACTTGCAGGTTAAGGAAACAGCAGGAGAAAGTTGCCGCGGGCCGTGGTGCAAATTTAAAGTAAATTCATATACATATATATATATATATATATATATATATATATATATATATATATATATATATACATGGACAGATAGGTAACTAGATAGAATAGAAAGGAATATATTAATCTGTGCTCCGCTGCACGCTGCAGAGCGCAGATGCAAAAGCAAATGCCTGCTCTCCCGCGGACCCGCACGTAAGAAACAGGCGTGACTCTCGGCTATTTTGACAAATACACACCTACGTTACACAGAGTCCAACATGGAAGTTTGGATTGAGTCAGCCCAATGTCAATAAAGAATCAATGGGCTGCAGATTATGTAACATGCGCTGCTCTGTCCGGAAAAGAAACATCTTACTTTCAGAGCGTGACAGCTCACAGCACCGTCAATCGCTGAGGCAGAAAAACATGACAGACTGCTAAGTGTTTTATGGGCTGATCAGACCATAAGAAGATGATCCGCCCGGTCCAAAAAGTACATCGACCCAGCGGGAAACTGCCCGGTCTGCCCCTGGCCACAACAGGGAAAAAAAAAACAGTGTTAATTGCGTTAATTTTATTAACGTGTTAATTATTTCAAATTAATCGCATGTGTTAACGCGTTAATTTTAACAGCACTAGACACCCCAAATAATGTTTAGCAAAACATTTTTCCGTTCTGCTCAGGCTTCCCCTGAGCTCCTGGTGAATTCCAGGAAACTTTATGTTGCACTGCGCACAACTACATCTTGACGCTTCCTCGCTCGTCTAGATGATGAGGATCTCCTGTCGGTGTGCCTTATATTGCAGCATCATACGAAAGATGATTTGCGAAAAGCATGTCTTGAAGGAACTCTGTGGCCGTTCATTCTACAAGTTATGTTAACCACATATAAAGAGAAGTGCCCATGGATGCAGGATATCACTCCGCGCATACTTCGACTTATACAGTAGAACATTGGTTTCCAGCATAGCCACTTGATGTCAGATGCTCTTCTCATCCTTCGGGAGGCGGATGAGACAGCGTTCAACAAATGAGTGCATGATACATGTCCCAGTACTATACTTTTCTGGAATCTAGTTTACTTAGAGGCAAAATTCGGCGTCTTGGTTGAGTTGTCTGGAGCTCTGGAGCATAAGCTAAGGTCTAAACGGTTTCGCAATGACCACAATCTGCTCAAGGAATCAACAACATGGAGCCTGCCTGTGCTGGAGCTGTCAGCATGCTGGAACAAAGAGGTGGTGTGTTTCTCATATCAGAAAGCACTTTGGATCCTGCCAACGGCCTACATTCTGTTAATCCACAACAAGATCTGTGATCTATTGTCTAGTCTGTTGTTGCTAAAAGCTTCTGGTGGTGTCTGTTAAGAGATCGAAGCGTATGACATCGCAACAGAATTCCTTTGTGCTATATCACACCTGGCATCAACACATACCAAGTACTTCAACATTGCTCGCACTCTTGAAGGACTGGTAGTGGCAAAAACTCTAGCTATTGAGGAGAAGTGGCAAAACACAACACTTCAGAACAGCATCTCAGCAGATTTAGAGGCCTCCGGATACTACAACTATGGTGGCAGTATAGAGTCGGTCCTTAGAGCATCAAGCACACCTCTGCGACATGAGCTGGCAGGGTTGATAAAGATTCCGGGTCATCCATTAATAGATATTGAAGCAACAGCTGCCAAGGCTAAAGAACGCTCAACGGTGTCTACAGAGTTCAATTATTATGCCATCCAAATGACTCGGAATCTTGCACTCGAACAATTAATTCAGAACCATATCATAAAGCACAGCAAATGGCCTCCGGTTACGTTTGAGGAAGGCACACCTCGAATTCTTACTGAGGCCTATAGTCTTGGTCGTGATCCTAAAACTCCTGCCCCGACTAGAAAGTATAGGGCAGTGTCCAGCGACATGTATGTGTACATAAACTTGGAGAGGATCCTGGAAATGGACTATTTGTCACACTACACACAATACGTGAAAGACAAAGCTCTGTCTGTGATGAGAAACCCAGCCATAGCATACTACCTCGAGAATGTAGCTCGTGTCGTAGACTGGAAGGAAACTCGCCTCCTTTTAGTGCACCTACTGCATAGTGAAGAGGAGCTGAATATAAGAGGATACCTCCAACAGTACCAGCAGTCTTCTGACAACATGGAGGATGTCTTGAATTACCTGGCTGTCAAGTTAGTCCCTAAAGAGAAAGAGCTTAAAGTGGAGGGTAGGCCCTTTGGTTGTAAGACATATCAGGATCGATATCGGGGATGTGTACAAGAAGAGATCGTTAAACACCTGCTGAACCAATACTTTGAAGATCAGGCGATGACACTCGACAATTTATCTTTGGTGAAACGCCTTTACTCTTTCAGACATCTCACATCACTGTACAAGGACTGGAGAGTCCTATACATTAACTTTGATGTATCCGGGTGGTGTGGGAATTTCATACACGAGACTGTAGAACCTCTATGCCAGGGGTGTCAAACTGAGTTCCTGGAGGGCAGAAGCCCTGCACAGTTTAGTTCCAACCCTGCTCCAACACACTTACCTGTAGGTTTCAAACAAGCCTGAAGGACTCAATTAGTTTGATCAGGTGTGTTTAATTAGGGTTGGAACTAAACTGTGCAGAGCTGCGGCCCTTTTGGAACTAAGTTTGACACCTGTGCTCTATGCTCAGACATTCTTGACTCTGCTTACGGGGTAAAGAACTATTTTCCGCAAGACACAACTTGCATAAGAACAAGGAATCTTCTATTTACCCTTGAGTCAAGGAACCTATCATTGGGAAGGGCAGCAGGGAGGCATCGAGGGGTTGAACCAATATACCTGGATGCTTACGTACATCCCTCAGATGAGGTATGCGCTCCGAGAGTTCGGTTTACACTACTTTGTCATGGCTTACGGGGATGATTACAAGGTGGCATTATTAATTCCCCCAAATCAACAGGATATAGACATGGGGCACTTCCGACGACGAGTGGTACGCACTGTGGCTAACAAGGCAAAAACGCAGTGAAGAGTGTTGATAACAAACTCAGTTAAATCTCAATACAAAACATTCATTATTATTAACTACTGCCACTTATACTGCAACACAATGGCTTTGCATGAGCCGTACATTCCCTTAATCACTTTATAACAAAAATAAAAAATAAAACAACCTTTTAACTTTTTATATAACTATGCATTTGCTCTTTAACAATTTATTACACAAAATACCTCGGTAAACAGAACTTTTGAGCATTAACAACTAAGATGTATTTAAGATAAGGATCCTAGGATCATGAACACATCTTACCTATCAGTGTTGATAACACAAACTAAGGAAATTACAGCGCACTGCGCATTTATCAACATTACGGTATGCCAAGAGGCTCAAACAACACAAGAAACGTCAAAATACCTAAATAAAACTGTCATAGCGACATCTTGTGGACAAAACAAACACTGCGCTACATATATATATATATATGTGTGTGTGTGTGTGTGTGTGTGTGTGTTTATATATATATATATATATATATATATATATATATATTAAATGGGTAGATTAATTGTATGAATGAAAAATTAAACTAATATTACTATAAAATTGAATAGTTTAAAACTTTTGTTTATTTAAAATTCATTTTCAATGCAAAGTTAACATAATACTAAAATATATTAACATAAAATGCTAAATAAATACACATGTAAAAAATAAACTAATCATTTAATTAAAGTGCATTTTTCTGAAATATATATATTTTTAAATATACTCAATTACAGTTATTTTAAAGCGTGTTAAAAGTTAAATATAAAAGTATAGTAATAATACAAATTTAATACATTTAAATTACGTACACTTTTGGTTAGTATACTTGCAATGTACTATTGAAATTAAAAATATATTTGCAATACAACTTAGTATACTTTTTTCCACCAAGGAATAATAGCATCATCTTAACATTTTGTTCTACAATACTGAACATTTTTGGGGTGGAAATTCAAAGCAAAAATACAAAACGTAATGCAGGAGCATAGACAATTGCTTTAATATTCCTTAGTGTATAGTGTTTTTACTATGCAGTCATAAATGACACAAATAATTGCTTAATAATGTTTTTATTGAGCTTTTTTATGCATACAAGTGAATACAATCGATTTAAAGATGATTTCCATTTAAGGATATTGATTCGTTTTTATGTTAGAAACAAGTTTTTTTAGTATACAGCCGTAAATGAAACTAACAATTGATCAATAATGTTTTTACAACGTTTTTTAAAACATGCAATTATAACAAAAATCAATGTTAAGATGATTTTATTTTTATTTTTTTTATGTTGGAAAGAGTTCCCAGGTTCATGAAAGTCCTGCTTTAGCCATAATCTCTCCAAGCATTTTTAACCAACTAGTAACTACATTTTGTGCAACAATACTCCCAGTTGTTGTCATCATCAATGTAGCACCAGAGGTACTTTTTACCGTAGTTGCTGCATTTGTGATTAGGCCTGCAGGTTTTGCCGTTCACAGCGGAGTAGCAGTCGTCTGAAGTACAGCAGTGGCCTCTAGTGCCTTCGTTGTCTGTGTAGCACCACGGCTTGCTTTCACCGTATTTTGCACAGGCGTGGTTGGTGCGGCAGTACTTTCCATTTTCAGCCTTACTGTTCCACAGTGGAGGACTGCAGTAGTCCCATTTGTCAGAGGTGGTCCTGCACCAGTAGTAGTCATAGCCGTAGGTAGCGCATGGGTGCTCATCCTTGCAGGTCTCTCCGTTAACCGTGATGAGGGAGTACTGTGGTGAACAACTGATCAGATACTGGCCATTGTAACACCTGTAGTCCCGAAGTTTGGCCTTGTACAGACAGGGCGAGGTGCAGCAAGACTTGGCAGCATCTCCTGGTTTTGGGGAACAATTACACCAGTAATGAGTTTTATATATGGTTAAGCAGGACGAGCCATCAGCTGCAGTAATCTGCTTCTCTGGCACCAACAAGCATTCAACTGCATCTGACGATTCATCAGACAAATCCCTCTTTCCAAGCCTCCTTACCAGTGGTTTGGCACGAGTTATAAGACAACTGCTTGTATAAAGAGTCTTCAGTACTTCTGCCACGGTGAAGTAAGTGCTCAAGCTGTCAAAAGCTAGCTTTACCGTCATCTGACTCACTTTGAATTTCTTTGAAGGTATGCTGTAATCGCTGACGGCGTTCTGCAGTGCGTTATACGTGTTCTGCGAGCTCGAGCTCATTTGAACGACTTGATTTGCTGCCAGATTGATTAATTTCTGAAACGCAGTCTGAACCTTGTTCAGTTTATTATTGTCTTCAAAACAATCATCAGCAAAGACACTAATCAACGGAGAAGTTCCCGAGAGTTGACCGTAGAGTTGACTGAGCTGAATGTTCAGGTTCGAGACACTCATCAGGCTTATTCCACCTTCGGGAAGGTTTTTTCCCAAATAGCTGAACGAAAAAGACTGTTCGGGATCTGTCTGGTGTTTATAGCAGACAGCCGTCCAAATGTGAGAGGGCACTGTCACTCTTTCGGGGTCAGTGGAAACTTCTTTTTGTGGTATTCGTATATCTGCACTGGGCACCGTACCTGTGACAATGTAGGCTTCTGCAGAGGAACCATCAGTGATAAGCTTGCCTAGTAACAAACTTCTCGTGGTGCTCTCCCAACTTTTCCAGTGGATTCTGTTAAAACACGCATCCATCGGTGCGGCGTTGGTCAGAGTGAATGTCGCCTTACGGCCTTCATCGCACTGGAAGCTGTTGGGGTTCAGGTGTCCACGATCATACCCGGTATCGGTGTAGTCATCGCTGATGGCTTGTTTTGCTTTAATAGTGTTGATATTGGAGTCTCTCTCGCGAACCATGTGATCAGTTCGGGATCCAGGCTGTGAAATCTACAGAAGAAATAGCATGTTAGTTGGTTAGACTGATGTTTTACCACTTTGCTTTTCCAAATTTATAAAGTTTCTCAAGAGTTCCTGAAATTTACTCCTACTTACAAATATAAGTATAAGAGCAAAGTATCACATTTCTAAACGCTAAGAATCATTATTACTCTACAAGTTATTTAAGACAGCTCCAAAGATATATCTTGTGGTCAGGAGTCATCACCAGGGTTTTGTGTCGACCAGTGCTTAATTTGTGAATTGCGATGTCCCGTAACAGATTGAGGTAACGGATCCGGCATGTTACCCAATGATGGAGATGTGTCGCGCTTGAAAGTGAACAGTGGACGGGGGCAGGAGCGCTGTTGAGGTCGGGGATCAGTAAAATGAGGTAACCTGGTGTTGATGCTTTGGAGTAGAGAACTGTACAAGACCTTGTTGACTTAAGGCTGATTTTTACTTGTTTATTTGTTTGTATACTTTATTGCCCCTCAAGGGGAAATTTTCTGTAGACTCACCCAGCACTTCAGCAGGTTCTGACACAATAACAATTTAAAAGAATAAGTCAACATGCAAAAGAATTACACACACTATTGTTCCGTGTTCAATAGTCTGATTGACACTGGAATAAAAGAGTTCTTAAATCTGTTCCGTTTCCAGCGGAAAGTTCTGTATCTTCTTCCAGAAGGTAAAAGTTCGTAATATGGGAAGAGTACATGAGATGGGTGACTTTATTCTTTAAGCTTCATTCAGAGTGCATTGCTCGTAGAGTGTTTGTGTACTGATAAAAGTTTCAGGTCCTATTAGTCTTGTAGCAGTTCTGATAAAATTGAACATTTTTGATTTCAGATTTACAGAAAGATTGCCATACCATGTAGACAGATCATACCTGATAACACTTTCAAACACAGCTTGATAAAATAAGTACATGATTTTCTTATCAACACCATAAAACCATAACCTTCGTATAAAATATAGTCTTTAGTGAAGCTTTTCACAGATCCAGTTTACGTGAGTGTCCCATGTTAGAGACCGGTCTATGTGAATTCCCAAATACTTGTATGACTGTACCTGAGTGATTTCTTGATTATGTACAAACACTGGTAAATGCTCGACAACACACTTGGGATCAAAAACTATTTCCTTTGTTTTTTTTTTGTATTTACTTTTAAAAAGTTTTCATCACGCCACTCAACAAATGAATCAATTTCAGAAAAGTAGACAGAAACAGGATCTTGTTTGTTCAGCAAGCCTAAAATTACCTTATCGTCTGAATATTTTAAAATAAGATTCTGTGAGTACCTGCCTGAGCACTCATCAGTATATAGAGTAAATAAAAGTGATGAGCTCACACAACCCTGAGGAACACCAGCACTACTATATTTGACTTGCGACAAACTATTATTTACTTTGACTGCCTGAGTTCGATTTGTTAAAAACGATTGATACCATTGAATAATTGTAGAGTTTACTTCTAAGTTTTTTAGTTTCCTAGTTAAAACATGTGGTTGAAGTGTGTTAAACGCAGAGCTAAAATCAAAGAACAGTACACGTGCACAGGGGCGTAGATTTAGGGTGGACGGTGGGGACGTGTCCCCACCAATATCCACAAACTACTGAAATGTCCCCACCAATAATTTAATTCACTTAAAAACATCGCGCTGTCAGTATAAAAAGGGTTAAATCACGTTCTCTCCTCGAGTCGCACCGCCCCCAAACACATATGAACAATATGTGATTGGCTGTGCTTTTCTCTGCTGTCACGCGAGAGGCTGCCTTCAGATCATAGTTCCAGATACAAACAACGCCAAAACAACTGCGTGGGGGGAATTTCCCGATGTGTGAGGTGTATGACACGCACAAGTGAGGATGGAGGTAGCAAAAAAAGGTGGACATAATGAGCTTTTTTCAACGAAAAGTGTAAGTCACATAAACTCAAGTTTTCTACTGAATGAGTCTCTCATGGTAATGCTGCTATCGCTGGTGTTTTCACCGCTTTTACGGTCAGTCGAATGTTAAAACAGACTGATATAGTCTGTGAACAATATTCCATGAAAACTAGCTGCAGAATAAACACCTACATGTAAACGTACATGACCCTGCCAGTTCTCCTAATCTCCTAGAGTAACAGCTCCAAGTTCAGGTGAAACAATTTGTCAGAAAAACTACAGCCTGTGCTCCATCTTTTAATAATACTGTGAGACATGTTTAATTTGTACGAAAAATGAACGAAATTCTTTATTAAGCTCTCTCTTTATCAGTTAATAAACATATATATATATACAATATTCATTCTTGGCGGGGGTGACTCGTCCCCAGTCCCCACCAATGTCAAGCGCAAACCTACGCCCTTGCCAGAGGCCTCATACGTCAGAGAATCTCCGATATGTTTAACATTTCTTAAATTGAATCTCAGTATGGTAGCAAGTTTTTTAATATGAGTTTTAATATTAAGGTTTGAGTCCAACATGATGCCTAAATATTTTGAATTCAGTGACATTTTTAATACTTTGCCCATTAATAAAAAAATTCTAAAACATTTCCAACTGTACACCTATTTGAGAAACACATGGATACAGTCTTTTCAACATTTAAGGTAAGATTTGAATTTTGCAGCCATTTAAAAACCTTTTGCATTTCATTTGTTAATTTACTAGCAACGTCTGTTGGATTTTTCCATAAGTGTAAAGCACAGCATCATCAGCGAACATTAATAAATCAGCATCAGTGCATATAGCTAGTAAATCATTTATATAAATGCTAAAAAGTAAAGGTCCTAAAATAGATCCCTGAGGCACTCCTAATTTAATTGGTTTAAAGGTAGACTTCAAATTGCTAACCTGAACACATTGACTTCGATCACCTAAGTACGATTTTATCCAATTTAGTGTTTGCTTTGAGAGATCGTAATTGTTTAATTTGTTAATTAAAATATCATGGTGAACAGTATCAAATGCCTTACGTAAATCAAGAAAGACTTCTCCCACCCTCCTCTTTATTTAAAATTGTCTTTATTGTTTCTAAAAAGTAACAGCAAGCTGTCTCAGTTGAATTTTTTTTTTTCCTAAAACCAAACTGCATAAGATGTAAGAGAGAATTTATATCTCAATGAGCCATAAGTTCCTCTGCTACAACTTTTTCAAGCTCTTTTGATACAAAACGTGCTCTATAGAGCTTGCTGCTCATGGAGACTGCTTTGTAATGGTGCCTCAGGATTGCTTGGCCCCGCAATTGCTGCTTGCAGCTATATTTATTATTATATATTATTATTACTATTATTATATTATTCCCTCAGGACTGTCTTGAGCATCTGCCGGCGCTCCCAAAGAGCGCCTCACGCCTCCAAAAGCCACCACATTGTGTTTACTGCGTTCTGTCTAGAGGTGCAACTCATTTATCATGAAAGAAAACAGGCTCAGTGGCTTCTCCTACCACAGAAAACTACATTTGCTCCAGTTGATCAAGAAGTGGTCATTTTTATCTTTAAATCATCGGATAGTAACAGCGTCTTTCACAAATATTAAATGTGATATTCCAGTTTTTCGCATATCTAACTCGCATCTTTGAATGAAAACACAGCTACCGTAGTAAATCTCAAGCAGTTCGCACACTAGAAGCACCGCTCGGCGGCGTGCTGCACAGCGCAATGCATTTTAGAATTCTAAACATAGGTTTCTATCAGGGTACACACACCGACGCCGCAAGTCGGCGGCTGTCGGCAGCGCCCAGTCACGACTCAGGACGCAGTTCAAATTTCAGCCGCGCCACAGAGCGCCATCTGATTAGTTTCATGTTAAATATCAATCGAATATGTGCGTCTGGTGTGCGATAGTTTAAACTGTCATGTGCGCGCCGTGTCGCGACGCTTCTGGTGTGCGACCTGCTTCAGAAGCTTGATATTGGATAATGTGTACAATACATTCAACACATAAAAAAGTACATTCAATACAATCAACACACAAAAACATGTAATGTGTTTTTATATTGTGTGCAATGACACTCAAATCGAACACCAGTATATCAGTTAACAAAACTGAAGAGCTTAGTCACCTGAGTCTCAACATGCCAGACGTCTGCCCTCCCCGTGGTGGTTGTGCAGTCACGATCCAGTGTGTACGCGCTGTAGAGAGGCATTCGTTGAGGAACAGAGTACAGTGTAGCGTAATAAAACCCTCCGTATTCTACCTTCTGACAGATTCTCTTAGCATTCTGATCCATCCCTGCTGGTTCTGTGCCTTGATAGAAAAACTCGCTGCACTCATTAAAGCTCGTGACCACTTTAGCTCGAGCGCTAAGCGCTCTCAGCACAACACAAATGAGCAGACCTAGAGCAAACATGGTCAAACATGAACACTCTTGCGTCTCACAGAGCAGAGAGGCCAGAAGCACAGGTTTAAGTGTCAGGGGTGATGGGTGTGACTGAAATGAACAAGTTACGGGAAATGAGGAATTTGATAGTTGCTTCATCGAGTTTATGAGGGGGTCATTATGCAGAATTGTGCATTCTTTCTGTCACTAACCTCTTAAGGCCCAAGTTGTTTTTTTTACATGCATTTTTTATTTCTCTTTGCTAGTTTGGCTTATAAAAACCTAATTAGAATAAAACCTAAGTATTATATTTTGATATCATGTACTTTAAGAGATAAATGATGTCCATATATGTGAACTTGTGGTCCCAATTTACTTAAAACACTTTTTCCTGAATTTTTTTGGAATTGTTTTAACTATCACAGAGTAAAAACAAAAATGTTTCCTCATTTTGGACAGTTAAAAACAGTGTTTTGGACATTTCATACGCTGCAATACAGTTGTAGGATGACACTGTATGTCTGTAAAAAAAAATAAAACATTCAAAGTATTTTAAATAACCACTTAAGAACTAAAATGTGCTGTCCACGTACGTGGACACTCAAGCCCTAGGAGGCTAGGTTTGACGAAATCTTTAGGTTTACAAATGCTTTATATTTCAAAATTAAATGATATATTATTTGGACAATTACACCCTTTCCGAATCATCAATGTGGCAATAAATGTGTTTTAAAGGGGTAGTTTACTCAGAAATGAAAATTTGATCACTATTTACTGACCTTATCAAGTGGTTATAAATAATTTGGAGTTTCTTTATTTCAGTGGATTTTACAACCCCAAATCAGACAAAGTTGGGACAGTATGGACGCAAATTAAAAAAAATAAAGTAGCGATGTCTTTGAGTTGTATTTTAATGCAGACAATACAACAAACGTTATTTAATGTGTTCCTCGTGATTTTTATCATTGTTTTTAAAAATAAACACGTTTTCTAATTTTGGTTCTTGCAACACATTTTTAAAAAAAGTTGGTAGACAGATGGTAAACGGTAAAGAGTTTGCCACTTTGTCATGTTGCCATTCCTTATCACAACACTTCAAGGACCACAGTTCACGTTTTCACTGTGTGAGGGTTCATCCCTGACGCCTCCAAGCCCAGAAAAAGTTGATGATGCTTCTGGACACTGTTAACATAGGGCTTCCCAGGCCCGGATTGGCTAATCGGGAGGACCGGGAGAATTCCCGATGGGCCGGTCTGTTCTTTGGCCGCGAGGGCCGGTGTCCCTAGTTCTAAAGCAGCTGTTTTCTTGAAAAAGACGTGGTAGTATCATTAGAAACTGAAATGGAAATGACCTTATTTTAATAAAGTCAGTCGTGAACTAAGGTGGGCCGGTCTGGCTTGAAACTACAGGGCTGAAAAGGAGTTCCACTCCGGCCCTGGGGCTTCCTTTCGGCACAGTGCAGTTTTAACTGGCATTTGTGGATGTAACTACATATTGTGGTATTCGGCAAATGTCTGCCAAAGTAGTCTTGAGCTCATGTGGTGATGTCGCTTATAGATGAAGGAGAACTCTTGATGCAGTGCCTGAGGCATCGGAGATCACAGTTGTTCAGCTTAGGTTTGCGCCCTTGTCCTTTCTGCACCGAAATTCCTCCAGATTCCTTGAATGTTTTCATGATGTTCAGCACCGTTGAAGGTGAAAAATCCAAATATCCTCTTCTCTTTCTTTGAGGAACATTGTTCGTAAACATTTCAATAATTTCTTCGCGTATTTGTTGGCAGAACTGGCGATCCTTGGCCCATCTTTGCTCCTAAAGAACTCGACCTTTCTTGGATGCTGTTTTCATATCAAATCATAATTACAATCACCTGTAGACATCACCAGTTTCAAATCACATCATTATTTAACCAGTTTATATGAGAAAAATGGTTGATGGTCGCCTAAAACCAAGACCACCTCGGTCCAAGGTAAAATTGTCAAGCATTGACCGGTCTGAGGTGATAAAAATGTTGGGACCACTTGTTTAAAGCACTGCATGGGCATTTACACTCAACTTCCATATGAATGTACTGGTAAAGCTTGCTACTCGGTGCTCCCAAATTGCCAGTGGAAATATGCTATTTTGAACATCAACTTTTGAAAACAGCAATTGGATCAAGGAAAATTAAGAGCTAGATGACTATGCATGTCATGTACTTATTCTTCTGTTATTTTAGGGATCTACCAGTAGAGTGATAATAAAAATGGGCTGGCGACCACTGCGTAACTCTGGAGTAAGATATCTGAGGAACGCAGAAAACCTGTAAACATTGACAGCTTAACAAAGTAGGATAAACTACTGTGGAAGTCAGTGGTTGCAGGTTTACTGCTTTCTTCAGAATATCTTCTTCTGTTTTCATCGGAAGAAAGACACTCTGGGCGTGTTGAGTAGTGGAGGGTGAGTAAATGATGGCAGAATTTTCATTTTTGGGTGAAACCCAAATCTCTTTAATTACGTGTGTAAAATTCCAAACAACACAAAACTGAGTTATTTCCAGAAAAAAAAAAAAGCTTTATGGTCAGGTGGGCCGGCACCAGCTTGGAACTTTAGGGTGGGCCAAAAAAACAAAAAATGTTAATATATAAGACAACAATTATTTTAAAGGTAATAAAAAAATGTAAATGTTTTAAATGTTTTTTTTTTAATATTCTCTGTCATTTAAAAAAAGCAAACAACCTTTTATTTTAAAACTGTTATTTGTACTGCAGACTATATTTATCTCAGTCTTTGCTTGTTTAAGCAATGTTTTGCAAGAAAACTCCAGAAAGCATGTTGCTCTCGATGAACTATATGGGTGATTCTACAGGTACATTTAGTGACCAAAGCCTTTTCTTTTTCAGATTATAAAAAAGTGTTACATGTTACATTTTTAAATATTTATAAAATGTGTTCATCATTTGCAAAATGCACATTACCAAAAATCATGATTTCTTGATGTCCGAATTAGTCAGTGTATTTTTCCCTTGTGTATCATTGTGCAATCAAAAAAATGTTTTTTTGCTTTTCTTAAAAAAAAAAATCACCAATATTTTAATTTTAAATGTTTGAACTGTAAATTGTCAATACTGTTACAACAATTACAAAAGGAAAACGGAATATTTCATTAATCACATATTAAAAAATGTTTAATCCTGATTTCATTAGTGTCATGTGATCTTTGTATTTGTAGCAAGTACAATGTTTGGCTAAAAAGTTCAAATGACTGTCAATTCAGTTCCAATTTAGTAACTACCCATTAGGATTTTTCTTGCCATGATTTATTGTTATTTTTGCACAGAGTAATTACATAGTTAACAAACCATTAACTATGCATCAAATTACAGATTAGACATTCCTTTAATATGTCAAAAAAAGTTAGATTTTATTTCCATCATTTACACTTTCAAAATAACAGAAAACAAAATAATGGCGTCTGCAAAAGTTTGGGCACCCTGCAGAGTTTATAGCATGCACTGCCCCCTTTGGAAATCTGAGACCTGACAGTGTCATGGATTGTTCTCAATCATCGTCAGCAAAGACCAAGTGATGTCAATCTTAAAGGTTTTAAATGCCCAAACTCATCCAACTCATCTGACCTTGCCCCAACAATCAGCATCATGGGTTCTTCTAAGCAGTTGTCTAGAAAACTGAAACTGAAAATAGTTGATGCTCACAAAAAAGGGAAAAGGCTATAAGAAGATAGCAAAGCGTATTCAGATGCCAATATCATCTGTATGGAATGTAATTAAGAAATGGCAGTCATCAGGAACAGTTGAAGTTAAAGCAAGATCTGGAAGACCAAGAAAAATATCAGACAGAACAGCTCGCAGGATTGTGAGAAAAACAAGTCAAAACCCACGTTTGACTGCACAATCCCTCCAGAAAGATCTGGCAGACACTGGAACTGTGGTACACTATTCCACTTTAAAGAGATACTTGTACAAATATGGTCTTCATGGAGTCATCAGAACAAAACCTCTTTTACGTCCTCACCACAAAAAAACAGCGTTTGAACTTTGCAAATGAACATATAGACAAGCCTGATACATTTTGGAAACAAGTTCTGTGGACCGATGAGGTTAAAATAGAACTTTTTGGCCGGAATGAGCAAAGGTACGTTTAGAGAAGAAAGGGCACAGAATTTAATGAAAAAAACCTCTGTCCAACTGTTAAGCATGGAGGTGGTTCAGTCATGCTTTGGGCTTTTATTGCAGCCAGTGGCACAGGGAACATTTCACGAGTAGAAAGAGAAATGAATTCAATAAAATTTCAGCAAATTTTGGATGGTAACTTGATGCCACCTGTAAAAAAGCTAAAGTTAAAGAGAGGATGGCTCCTACAAATGGATAATGATCCTAAACACACCTCAAAATCCACAATGGATTACATCAAGAGATGAAAACTGAAGGTTTTGCCTTGGCCTTCACAATCTCCTGACCTCAACATCATTGAAAATTTATGGATAGACCTTTAAAGAGCAGTGCATGACAGACAGCCCAGAAATCTCAAAGAACTGGAAGACTTTTGTAAGAAAGAATGGGCAAAGATACCTCAAACAAGAATTGAAAGACTCTTGACTGGCTACAAAAAGCGTTTACAAGCTGTGATACTTGCCAAAGGGGGCAGTACAAGATTTTAACTCTGCAGGGTGCCCAAACTTTTGCAGACGCCATTTTTTTGTTTTCTGTTATTTTGAAAGTGTAAATGATGGAAATAAAATCTAACTTTTTTGACATATTAAAAGAATGTCTAATCTGTAATTTGATGCCTTCTGGAGATTTTTCCATCTTTCCTTGGCTTCTTTATGCACATTAATACAAATTTTTACCTGGGGTGCCCAAACTTTCGATCCCCACTGTATATAATTACCCATATTGCTTTAAAATAATAATAACTGTAGTTTTGTCACTATGCTGGAATTTTAAGATGATACCTTCAAAAATATCAACATTCGATACCATTTTCTATATTTTGTGATTAAAAATAAATCTTAATACTATTATTAAATAATT